TGGCGCTGGCGGAGAACAGGGCCCCGGAGGACGAGTACGCCTTGGCAGCCACGCCGGCGACCGCAAGCAGCACCACACCGGCACCAATGAGGTACCAGCGAGGAGCCTTGCGCGGCTCTGGCATTTCGGTCGCATGGTTCAGGCCCTCATAGATCTGTGCACTACGGCTGGTGGCCATGGCTGTCGACCTCCTGTGGCTGCGCGCTGCGACCCCTGTGACTGAAGAGCAAAAATTGCTTCCAACATGATATAGCACGATACCCCTGATGTGCTAGTACCCGGCAAGCTGCCATGCAAACCTGCCTCAAGCTTCCATAGGCTGCGAGCATCTACAGCAGCTCTTTTACAGCGCGTCTCCAGCGCATCCTGCCGCGGAGAGCCGACGTATTGCCAGCTCTCACGTGGTGCCCCACATCAACACGTTCAACAATAGATGGTGCAAAGCCGTCGCAACGGGAATCCCGATCCCGGAAGTCAGAGCACCACGCCTTTTCGGCTAGGCTCAAAACTCTTCCGGGAATGCGACCAGGAAAGAACCAGTTAAACCAAAATTGAAATTCTGCACTACACTATACACTATTTTCAAGGCACAGCTGCAAGCTGCTCTTAGAGTTTAAAGGTCCGCGCAGTCGGAAGTGGAGGCGATGCCGGCCGCAGGGCCGTTGGTCACAGCCGCGACCATGTCAGATATGTCCGCTGTGCACAGTGCTTTCTGGTCGGCACCCACCTGGCAGTCCGACACGGCCAAGGCCGTGAACTGGGAGATCCACGCGAAGGATGAAATGATGTTCATGATCCCGACAGCACATGCCTTGGGGTCTGGGCAAGCACTGCCAGCAGCTCGAATCTGAAGGATGACTCGCACGATGTAGGAGGCTGAGTTGGTCACATCCATGACGCACTGCGTGATGTCGAAGTCCCGGTTGCGCTTGGCCTCCTGGTGGCCCTTGATCGCAAGGATCTTCTCGGCCTCGGGTCCGGCGCCGCCCGGGACGAACTGGGCCCAGGGCGGGGAGACAGGGTCTGGATTCGTGATGATGCTGATCGCGTTCTTGCCGAAGTCGCAGTCCGCCTTCACTGCGGCACCTACCGTCGCGATCTCGCCAAAATTGGCCATGAGAGCTGTGAAGTCGCCTGTGCCACAAGCATGTGTGAAGGCTAACACCAGCAGGAGAGCGGCCTGTTATCCCCATCCCAGGTTGTACAGAAACGACTTGAAAAAAGAAAGTCGAAAGCCCTCTTTGTGCCTGCGCAGAGCGCACCCGAGTTCACGGCCTGGCCGCAGGCGTTGGCTGCGAAGGACAAGTACGAGGCAATCCAGGTGATGGATGTGATGAAGCCGGCGACGCTGGCAGCGCAACCCACTGGGGAGTTGTCAGGACACTCGAGGCCGTTCTAGGTAGCACGGGAAACATTCAAAAAACACAGGCCGAGGTGGAACAAAACCAATCTGAACAAGAAAGGCAAGTACTGTACCAGACAAGACGCATAGTCGATGGCCTTGTAGAGGAACACAACGGCCTGGCCCAGGTAGGCCGCTGCCTGAACGGTGTCGATCACGCATTCCTTGATGCGAGAAATTACGGGCCCAGCTACCCTGTCGGTTGGTGGGCAATGGTGGGCAACGTCAAGCAGCCATAAAGGACCCTGGAACAACAACAAAAGCAGCAAAAGAAAAGGATCCTTAACATGGACCCAGATTCGGTGCGGATCCAAGGGACTTCCTCCGGTTGGGAGTCGTAGAATAGATCATTCAAGTTGCGGAGCGGATGCTTGAGTGTCAAGGACTGCGCCTTCTTGATGACCTTGTCCATCCCTGGGAGTTCCTCCCAATCCTGAACCTCACCCCCGCGCGTGGCGCTGGCGGAGAACAGGGCCCCGGAGGACGAGTACGCCTTGGCAGCCACGCCGGCGACCGCAAGCAGCACCACACCGGCACCAATGAGGTACCAGCGAGGAGCCTTGCGCGGCTCTGGCATTTCGGTCGCATGGTTCAGGCCCTCATAGATCTGTGCACTACGGCTGGTGGCCATGGCTGTCGACCTCCTGTGGCTGCGCGCTGCGACCCCTGTGACTGAAGAGCAAAAATTGCTTCCAACATGATATAGCACGATACCCCTGATGTGCTAGTACCCGGCAAGCTGCCATGCAAACCTGCCTCAAGCTTCCATAGGCTGCGAGCATCTACAGCAGCTCTTTTACAGCGCGTCTCCAGCGCATCCTGCCGCGGAGAGCCGACGTATTGCCAGCTCTCACGTGGTGCCCCACATCAACACGTTCAACAATAGATGGTGCAAAGCCGTCGCAACGGGAATCCCGATCCCGGAAGTCAGAGCACCACGCCTTTTCGGCTAGGTTCAAGGCACCACACAAGCTCCACAAGCTAAGCATTCCACAAACAATCTCCAACAGCAGACAAGCTTCTGGGCGGATGAACTAACGCACAAACACCCATGTCCCAACATCCTTCGAACCCCGAGAGCTGCACTGGGCACCCTATGGCACCTTATGGCATCCTGAGCAACACTGAACACAAACACAAATAGCTCCGGACAGAAAGCTCCTCTCGGCCTGGGCACTTTCGGTTGGTGGCCATCACGGCTGGATGAGGTGGCACCGGACTAGCAAAGCACTGCATTTTGATGCGTTGAGTCCTTCCGATAAGGCTCTGCAATTCCAACTTATGGCTTCTGTTGTACCAGCCACAAGCGCCTGGCGGTCTGAGTCGAACGCAAGAGTTCAAAAAAGCTAGACATGTGCCACGCTCAGAGCTTCAGAGTCCAGATTCAGGAGACGAGCTCTCGACACCCGGCTCAGCCTCACGTATGAAGCTGAACTTTTTGTGTATGAGTATGTTTTGCAACCATTGCCGAACGGTCACCCCAAAAGGTTACATCATGCATTGCGGCCGGGTTCTGCGCGTGTCATTTTGGCGTTGGACTCCGGACAACGTGAAGAACTCAAGGTCTTTGTGCTCGCATTCGCTGGACGTATCTTTACTATGTTCAAAGTCACCACTGCCACCAAGGGATTTGTGTTCGCGTGCGCAAAAACACTGCGCACGGTGATGCTTTCGAAACTTGCGAAGTGCGAGTTTGAAAGTGCTGTTTTTTTTTTTTGACGCTTTTTTCGGGCGAAAGCACTGTGCACAGCGCTTTTGTGCTTACTTATGTTGTACAAAGTGGCAAAGATGTGTACGGCAAAAATGCTGCAAATACCAATAGCATCTTCGGAAAAGGCATGAACGCTTGTGACCGCGTGTCTTGTTCCATAACATGTTGTATAGAGAAGGAATAACACTGCAAATACCAGTGTTTTGGGCACCTTCGCCAAGGGCGAAAACGCTGTACATACGGATGTTTTGGGCAGGGGCATCATATTAGAATGGACGAAATTACCCGCCCCCCACCCCCCCCGACCTCCCCAACCCCCCCACCCCCTGCGCCCACGCGCCTGAAATGTTAGCACAAACCAGCCCGATCGCAGAGAGGTATCGCCCCGATTGCAACGAAAATCTGACATGATGTACCTCTTTTGACTCTCGCATCCTTCTCCGAACATTCCTATGGCATGCTCACAGGGTGATTTCTAGCATTCTGGTCCGTATCCGTGACAGTTTGCAGATCAGCCCAATGCAACGATGAATTGTTCAGAACATTGAGTATCGTTTGGGCTCCTTAAACTGGCACAGATTAGGTCGTCCCATCACCAGCTCCAGTCTTACGCACGTTATCCGGGCACTACTGCGCGCGTTGGTGGAGCTCCTTGCAAACTCCATATGTACTAAGCGAGCTCAGCTCATGAAACTCAACAGCAGCGTTGCTGCCGTCTGCCAAGCCGGGCTGATGCCGCCAAATGACACGTTTAGATTGCTCTCGTGGTACTATGAAACTATCACCTGCCAACTCAAAAAAATGGTTTCAAATACATTCAGCAACAGGGCAATCCAGCGTCATTCTTTGCATTTGACATGCGGCAAGAAGAACAGCCAGACAACCTTACTTCTGCTTCTGCACTGGTCACTGAGGCATCGAGGCCGTGGCAGTTCCAGGTGAGTGCAGGTTCAGGTCATGAACCAATCAGGAAAGGAAGAAATCAGAGTCGAAATGCTGAACCGCAATCTTCAAGCACTGCGCACTGCATCTGCCTCATTGGTTCAGGACAGACACGGGGTATTCGGGTATTCCGTGCTACGCACGCTTTGCACATCGCTGGTCCAGCGAAGCCTTCTGCAACTCATTCAGCCAGCAGCATCAAGCGCGGCTCGCTCTGTGCAGCTGTTTACTGCCCGCAGTCGAACAACGCAGTTGGCTGCGTAAGTCGCAGAAGATCCACGATCGCCACGCCGAGTGTGAGAATGAGTGTGAGTGCGGTGATCAGCCTTGCATCCTGCAAACGGCACTGTTACATACTGTTGCAGGGTTACCTCAGAATAACTACCCCGCCTTGGACCCTCCCCACGGACATTGTAATGTGAAGAAACGCTCGACATGGTTTGGTCGGGCACGTGCAGCGACCACCACGGAATCAGGAGTCATACGGACACAGCTATAGGGAATCTACGGCGGGTTGGGGAAGAAAGAAAGAAAGAGCTAACATGGCAAACTGCCTACAAATTCGCACCCCCCCCCCCCCCCCCCGGTTGTGGCCATTACAGGCCACAGGGCCACTGTGGACTCAGGCTTCCCATGGCACTTCGCTGCACGCTAAGTGAGAACATAAAGCCCTGTACTACTCGCCACCCATCCCATCGGAGACTGTCGGAGACTGTCGGACACTGTACCACTTTGTGATGGCGCTTCGTGATGATTCACCAATTGCCATACCTGACAGTGTTCACCTGGGAGGAAAGACTGCACTGTAGCCCAAGGCTGCCTGAATTTGTGATTAGCGGCCAGGCGGTATTTAAAACTCGCCTTCGCACAATGCAACAGCAGCCACAACCTCAAGTCCTCAAGAGGTGCAGCTCTCGCGGAACGCAATGTTCCGGATTGTTGCGGTCAGGTCTGCGGCATGGTTGGCAGCGTTTCATTCTGCAACCAGCTCACGTTGCCTGGCTTGCCCTGCGAGGGGTCGCAGAGAGCACCGATGGAGCCTGAAAAGCAGCTCATGTGAGTCATTGTGCGTCGCCTCTTAACCGCCCTGCAATTCTTTCAAAGTAGGGACAGAACATCTTTAAGACCGTGCATCAGAACAGCTGCGGGTGAGGCGGGGTAATGGGTAGTGGTGGGGTAGCAGTGGGGCAGTGGGGTCGTGGGGTAGTGGAGTAATGGGGTCGGGGTAGCAGCACTCAATCTCGGTAAGTCGGGTGTGAAACAGCCCTGGTACCTCTCGGACAGCTCTCACCACACTACACCTTAGGATTTTTGAAGCCGCCCAGACATGCCGGCCAACCTTTTGGAATGCAGCCTGGCAAGGCCAGGCAGCCCCAGAAGCCACCTGGACTTTCGAAACTACTCGCCAGGCTAACAAGAGGCCCACAGGACAGTGCTGTCTGTCAGCTTCATCATGATGGTGGGTGGAATTGCTGCACACGTTTTCCTCCCACATCGATACAAGTAAGTGACGCGGGGATATGGCGTGGTGGGGGCAAGCGACACGGTCTCGCAGGCAAAACACAGATTACACATGCTCCTAAATCTGCATTGTCACTACGTACTAGTTGTACTACACGACGACGCTGTCAGCTTCGCCATGACAGTGGCAGGGATCGCCGCCCAAGTCGATGCGTTAGCTGGGCATGGGTTGTAGGGCCCCGGTGTGGTTGGGCATCCACGTCGACTTAGGCTGTGGCACTCTGCCTGGGCGTCCTCGGCCTAGGCTGCCCAGGGCGCACTCAGTGTCGGATCGCCTCCCTTGCAGCTCTCAGGCTCTGCTCAGAAAAGCACAAGAAGCCGAAACAGATGCCGAAACAGATGCCAAAACGTTGAACTACTGCAAACTTGTGAAGAGGGAGTGCGACAGCAGTCGAACAGAGTCGGGACCAATTTTTTGGTGGACCTTGGAAGCCTGCATATTCGCTTAAAAAAGGCTCTGGATGGCTCAACTGAAGGGGAGACCTTGCTCTCGGGTCGCCAGGCATCCATGGCCTGAAGAACAAGCAACATGGAGCAATCTTACACACAGAGCAGCTGTCGGTAGACACTGGGCAATTCTTACCCCTTGCATGTCTCGAGTGGGCAGATGTGGGCATGAGCATGGAAGTGCACAGAAGGGAAGATGCCTGTGGAGGCAGGCTGGGCACCGAAGTTGGTTGCACAACCTGCATCTGAAGACAAATCTGACACACCTCATGTCTCTGCTGGGTACACCCCCTGCACATGCAGCTGGCCGAGATTGCCCAAGGCTTCTCAGGAGTGGGGACGGTTGCGGGGGGCAGGCGCTGCTGGAAGATTCGCAATGAGCTGAAGGCGCGCCATTGAACAACCAGGATGGTTCAACCACTGCACAACGTGCCTTCTTGGGCAGTCTGTCTTCGCACCTCGGTGAGTCAGAAGAGGTTGGCCACTGCACCCGATGACTCACAGCGCGCAGCGCAGTCTCAGTGAGCACTCACAGCCAACCAAGAAAATTGCGTGGCTCCAGGCTCTTGCACGCTGGCTTCGGCACGTTGGTTTCGGCATTTGGTAGTTCTATTTAGCAGTAAAGTGTTTGTTCCGGACTGAGATGCCACAACACCCTTGATGCCAGATAACTGAAGGGCTACACCATTGTGCAGACACTGGGATTGCACGTCCATGTAGCATCGTGTGGCTTTCACATGCTTTCACTGCTTCATGCAATCCGAGTTGCAGATTGTAGCGAAGAAGAACGAAGAGTGGCAAAGCTGTCAACAAGGCCTGATGCAGCCACTCTTCTCCTAGCCGCTTGTAGTGCCGTACATCCGTCGCAAAGGTCGCAAAGCTGGTGAGCCACCGGCAAAGCCGTGCTAAGTTCTTTTCTCAGGGCAGGGCCTGATGCCGCATGGCACGAGGCCAGCAATGACCAAGTGGTGGTCGAGACTGTCTACTTCGTCACATCTACCCCTGCCCTCTCCACAGGCCCTGTTGAGCCCAAAGAAGGGTGGAAGAACAGACTTAATGCAAACAAGCTCCTTTCGCGAGTCATGCGCTGCAGCCATGAGTACAAATTTCAGAACTCTCGGCATTCATAAACAGAAGCAGAAGACCATGAAGTATGCAAAGGCTAGAGTGGCAGACTCTTGCTATCACAAGACTCTGTTGCTGAGTCAGGCTGAATAAAACTCATTTGTGTTAACATGAACAAAATAGCGGCAGATGGCGGCGACTTTTCACTGACGTTAATTGCTCGTAGAGGCGCATTTGAGGCATGGTGCCACTTTCTGATCCCAGAAACATACTTTGACGGTCGAACAGCTCTGCAGCTCTCAAACTTAATTACGAGGTTTAGAACTGAAACTTGTTCACGATCTCTGAATCATCATGAGAGCTGCAGCTGCAGCCCGCTGTGGACATGGCCGAACGCCTGCAGCACAATCCATACTCGCACCATCTTGCACATTCTTGCACACGGGGAGACGCAGAAAACAGTCAAATTGCCAATAAGTCTCGCACAAATGCAAGGAAGCGCTGTGGCATGTGAACGCCGTCTCGCTTGTCATCTACGCTCTCAATAATTCTCCATTCAACTCGGACGTGCGACTGCTCGAAACCTATGCTCCTTTCAACTTGGTTGCAACTTGCAAACGAACATCTGGCCTTATGGAGCGAAGTACGGATTGTCGCTGAGTGCCTGAGATCGCTGCACGGCAAATGGGATCAAATCAGATGTTTCAGAATTTCAGAAAGCTCGATCCGTTGCTCAAAAAGCCTGGAGCATTGAGAAAACTTCAATCGCGGAGGTTGAGGCTGAGTTGTGATGAGGCAGATGAGGTCCTTGCTTTCAGCATTGCCTTGGCGGCATCCGCACCCGCGTTGCGGTTTTTGCGCACTTCCGCCTGGCGTGCAAGTATGATTCTCATACAGCCGTATTTCAGTCAGCTGAAGAAGCTATAGCTGACACATCACCGACTGCGCAATTTCAACTGCAGGAAACCACTTCCTCGAAGCGTGCCGGGCAAACTCGCTCCTTCTCGATATTCCGCAATGAGCTAAAGTTGTTGATCCTTCGGATGCAAGACGCATCAAGGGCTTTGGCCATGGGCTCAGTCCTCGGAGTCCTTACTCGTGTATTCTTATGACTCCTATGTTTTCGCGTGCTTTGGGAGGGTGGGGGAAACATGGTGGAACTCATGCTGGAACACGTTGTGAAAGACGACTGATTTACATGATTATAAACATGTATATATTATATTATATTATATTATATTATTCTATGTTACATTATATTATACTATATTATATTACATTATACTATATCATTACATCATATTATATTAACTATAGTATACTATATTATATTATATTAAATTATATTATATTATATCATATCATATTATATATATAATATACATTGTATATAAATGTATAACCTGCCAGGCCTTCGCTTCTTCTTCGGCGCATCCGAATCGCTGTCGCTGTTCCTCAGAAGCTCAAAGGGGCTGCTGGGGCCACATCTAAGAAACTTTCAGAATCGTCCGATGCCGGGACGTCCCTCGGTGCTAGGTCGTTTTGGCTTAAAACCGCGACTTCACAACTTTCTAGAGGGCAGCTGCAATCGTCGAGGCCTGACCGTCGACACAAGAGGCCCCCGCGATGACGACGAGCTCTTTGCTTTCTTTTTCTTGTCCTTCTTCTCTTTCTTCGGCTTCTCCTTCAAAGCTTCACAAGATGGAAGCATATTCGAAAGGAAGCACTGCTCACACTGCGACACGCCAGGCTCGTTGCCTGCGCGGGCGCCCCTGCAGCAGGCGGAGCCGGTGGCGCTGCTGGCACTGCTGCTGGAGGGGCCCCAGGGGGCGCCGTCGCCGCTGGCGCTGGGGGAGGCACCGGAGCCTTCAAACAGTCTGCAGTTTGGTCTGCAGCGACGGTCTGCGGCGCAAGCCCACAAAAGTCCAGGCGAGCCTTCCCCTTCTCCGTATCAGAATCAGATTCAATGACCATCATGGACACCTGTCCGAGAACATTATCGGGAGCAGCCTCCTTTCAATGAGCTGTACCACGCTGGGAACTCGCCATGATCGGCCAACTTGGAAAACCCTGGGGTTACATGGCATGGCTTCCATCCTGACATCGCGGCATCTCAAAAAAGTAAAGCACGAATATATCTTGGCTCAAGCAGCAGCGACCTCACAGCTCATGCTGCAGCTTTGTTGAAACGATATCAACTTGCTGCTCCTTGGTACTTTTTTACGTCCATCTGCATCTTCCTGAGAGCGCTAGCCTTCGGCGCTGGCAGTGCCGGTGGTGGGCCCTTGCCATCGGCCTCAGCCTGTCATGTCAGCTGCCGTGTTCCTCACATGTTTGGGGTACCTTATTGGGGTCCATAGTATAAGGGGATCCTTTTATTTGGGGATCTCTAGTGGGGGTCCCCTATTTTCATAAACCCCCATATGTGTTGCCCATTGCAGCTCAGAATCTGTTCAGCTGATTGCAAAGCCGGTTACAAAGCCATCTTAAGATCGTCTTAGGTCTTAAGTGTAGCTGCCGTTGCCTTCCAACCTTCCATGCTTCTTCACACGCACGATGTGCGGATTGAGGCCGCCCAATCCATGCAGCACGTTTCTTCTCGACAGGAGCATATCAACCGTGCTAGCCTTTGGCTAAGCATGAACTCTTGTCCAGCGCTGAAAGTCTGCAGCGAACTTGCATGTCAGTCGGGACGGACTTCCGTTATAGCAATTTGCAAAAGTACGTGCCCTTGCGACGACGCTTCCGCAGACTTTGGCTTTGAACCTTGGAGCTAAACGCCGAAACAACCGCGACGTACATCTGAGCAAGCTGTACATCTCAGAATCACGCTCTACATAAATTTCTGGGCCAAAGGTCTGTCTGTACCAACCCATGCCCCCTAGACATGGTGTAAGAACATGCTCCTCGAACGTGCCTTCGGCTAGGGTCAACCGTTTCGGAGAAGCTACTCTTGGTTTCCCCTGCTCGCGGTGACTTAATTAGTTGGGAACTGTGCAAACGGTCAGAGTGACAGCTTGCTGTTCGGCAAGGTCGGCAAGGTGTCTTCGCAGAAGCAATCCTCGCGGCACTTCGGGGATCGGAAAACTTGAGAAGCACCTTCAGCTATCTTGCGCTATCGCCTGTTTGTTAAGGCACCTCCGCGGGCGACGTCACGTGACTTCAGAGCCGAAACTGAAAGCGCGCCCATCCCCAGCCTTGGCGAGCTGGAGCTTCTCCTCCCAGTCCAGCTGGCTCCTGAACGGGTTGTCTTCCGTCACACGGGCTGCTACTCGCTTCTCTGCGCCTTTGCGACCCTCATCTTCAATCTTGACCTTCGGATTTAAACAAAAGGGAATCTTGCTTCCTCCTACTCTGGACCTGCGGACTTCAGAAGGGAATCTCACGTACTCTCACTTCGAAAAGGCCCGATTATAAATCGGTGGCCGTCCTCTGCTGCGGGTCGTCCATCGCTCTGCGGAGCGCAGGAGCTGCCGGAGCTCTGCAGCGGCGCAGCGCCAGGATGCCAAGCAGACTCAAACAGACACTGCCCAGGAAGAGCCTCCCCACAAGGGTTTAGGGACTCTAGGGGTTTAGGGTTTAGGGATTTAGGGTTTAGGGTTTTAGGGATTTAGGGGTTTAGGGATTACGAAACTTCAAAAGGCACAGCTCCAGGAATGCAACCCTTCTCAGACATCCTTCGTAACGCTGGGGCCATGGCAAGCTGATTAGCGTCACCAGCAAGGCAGTATCCTTGAGGCACACGCTGCATAGTGAGCACCGACTGCATCACACCGATACGAAGGGGCGAGGGATCAAAAACTAAGGGTCACGAAAACTTCAAAGCCGGGGATCAAACAAAGATCGGCTAGGGATCTAAAAAAAATCAAAACCCTATAGGGTCTTCGCAGGAAACGAAAAAAGCCTATGCAGGCATCTGAGCCGCCCCCCCTCCAACAGCCACCCCCCGCCCCCGACGGATCCAAGACCGGTGGGGAAGCACCCTCCCAACCTCCCTCCTGTGTTTCCTTTCCTTCCTGTCTTCCTTCTTAAAAGGTTACTTTGTTTGAGTTGGTCATCACTTGATATGGTTTCCCTATGTCAATATGGCTTCTACATGCTGCTGCCAGGCGGCCATGCTCGGCGCTGGACTCCTGGGTGGGCACTCGCTATTAGGACACATCAACGCCCCCCTTGCTTTGCTGAGTCCCTGGCTCCAGCTGCGCTGGAGGTGGCGGAGGTGGCGGCGGTGGCTGCGGTGAAGGCTGCCCGAAGCCTTGGGTGCCGAACCTAAGCGTTGTTGTTGGTCCTGGCAAGCGATGCAAGTCATTAGCTTACACAGTTCGAGCGGAGGGTTAGCCAAAGCTGCAAGCTTCCCGTGGCATTGTTTTTCTGCCTTGGCTCGGTCTCGTGTAGCCGTAAACAGACCAGTGACCTAGCATGTCTATTGTAAGGCCGTTCTTCAGGACATTGCTTTCGGCGTGGAGTATGCTTCCCCCTCCAACATCAAACGAAACCAAGGAATCAGCAGAACTGGGGTCACTCCAGTCACTCCAGTCCTTCGTCTTCTGGCCAGTTCTCCTGCATTGTCCATTGCATGTGGCTGCAGCTACTGTGCTTCTTGCGTGGCAGAGCCCCCCGAAGGTACCCCTAATTTGTTTGCGCCCAATTTCCTCGGTTGCCCTCAAAGCTGCAGCCACCGCAGCGCCAGCGACCACTAAGCCAACCTTACATCCGAAACTCAATACAGCGAGGCAGACCGAGGCCGGTGTAGAACTGACTCTTACAGGATGGAGCTCAAGCCTCTGGCACGCCCGTTCCGAAGCTCTCTTGTGGATGCGAAAGTCTTGTCTGCAGCCTGACGACTGACACAGTGCCCATGGCCAGGAGCATCACCATGCGATTTCGCGAGTGGGATGGCTTCTCGCTCCTCAGTGCAACCGGCAATGGACTCTCCCCCGCCAACGCGGACCACAATGCTACTTCTCCCAGCTCTGCAAACACGCCGGATGTGTATTGAACTCCTAAACCCTAAACCCTAAACCCTAACCCCTAAACCCTAAACCCTAACACAGTTTCAGCTGTGAGTGAGAGGCCATGTGAGGGCCCGTAGTGGCTTCTCACATCAAGCAGCACGAGTTCAAGAAGCCCGGGCAAAGGAAGCCTGGGAGTCTCTGGGCACAAATTTTGCCAGGAGGCTTCGACGGCCCGAAAATAGACCAGTTGTTCAGCTCTTCTTCAGCGCGTTTCAGCTCTTCCGCCAGCATGTTCTGCCAGTTCGGATCCTGACAAATAGTTAACAACATCCCTGGCTGAACAATCAGACAAAGATGCTCGATGTGGACACCGGCTATCAAAGATGTATGTGGAACAGACAGCTCCAACTGCCCTGTGCAGTGTGATGTGACCAGACCTATCAACTCGGCACAGAAAGCCTGCATCACTCAAATCGCCTGCATCTGCTGTTCTTCTGAATAGGGGTCTCTGAAAGTGTCTTCTGATGGCTCCTTAAAACAATCCGGGGGCGCCAGTGAAAGGATTTTTCGCACCAAGGAGGCCACGAATGCTTTCTCGTTTCGCATTCTGTTGTGGGGGATATGGAAGGGGGCATCACGGCTCCAATGAAATCCTAAAGCAGGCCCTGCCAGGACCTGCGTATGCTGGAGAACCTACCCCGCTGCCTTCTTGGCCAGCACAGCCCGCAGGGACTCCAGGCGAAAAGAAAAGATTTTCCAGTCGAGGGCTCGGAAGCCTTGGTGCTGGCAGAACTCACGCCGGATGCAAAAAAAGGTACAGAGCTTGGATCCCAAAACATATGACCTCTAGGTTGGGTATGCCAATGAAGCTGCGCAGCCTCCCTGGTCCTGAATGCGCGACCGAATCATTTCGGCGTCTGCAGGGTTGCTGCACACAGCGTTGTCGGTACGAGCTTTCAGTAAGTCCACCAGAGATGTGTGGCGCTGCTTCAGATAGCGCTCGGAAAAAGCAATACCAACCTGGGCTGCAAAAAGTATGGTCTGCACACAAGGAGAAGAAGATGAACCAAGTGATGAGTATACTGTAACTAAAGCTGATGTGGCCTTCCGATGAGCAGCAAAAACTCAGCTCTGCAGTCAAGCAGCTTTGGATTCCAGGCGAGTGGCTTCTGAGATTTCATAAACACACCAAAGCCGTTCATACACCCGCGCCGATGAGGTGTGCACCACCACCATGCCCATGGCAGGGGTCGTATGACGGATCACAGCCCCGAATGGATCCAGCTTGAGTTGTTCGCCTATGCTCGGACCAATGTCGCCCGGCTCATCCCCTGCCTGGTATTGAGCAAACCCGCAGAACCAAATGCAAGTGGCGAGTCCAGACGTTGATTCGAGACAGTAGTCAACAATGGCTTCCTCGCACTCATCCATATCTTCCTCGTCAGCACCGCGGGCTTTGGAGATCGAGAAATGCCCACGATGCACAGAAAAAATGTATGGGGCTGCGAGCCACATGGAGGATGCCCACCGGTCTTGCATTGCAGTCAAGGTGCTGCCCAAGTGTGGGAGATCATCAAAGTGGCCCGACCTCCGCTGAACCGAAGAAACACCCTCTAACGAAGCGCAGGTAGGATTGCGCGTGCCGCGTAGAAATGAACCAATGCATATCTCAGATATGCATTCGTTCCTTACGTCATATCACATAAACCCACCCTCAAGGACTCAGGCCCGGAACTCAATTACAAACCTCCCCTCAACTAAGAAACCTGGCCCGACAGGTGATTTGGTTTAGGGCAGTCGGCTGCCGATCAACGCTTTAAACTTCGAGGGTTTGGAGCCTTAACTCCCAGGGACTTGAAAGTCTAGAGCCCTAAGCTACAGACTGCCAGGGGCCTGAACTAGAGACCGCAGAACTGCAGGCCTAAACTACGGACTGCAAGATCTGGAGCCCGAGAGCAGGATTTCCTTCTGAAATCCTTGCAAAAAAAAACCAAAAGATCAATCGACCCAAGGGAGTAGTCCACGAAGGAGGTTTCCCTTTAACAACAAACCCCAATCGGCAGGGGGGGGGGTTATTGTCAGCAATTGAAACCTTACGTAAGAACCAGGCCTTAAGCCCGTAAGCCTTAAGCCTTAAGCCCGAAGCCTGGAGCTCGAAGCTGTCGAGCCCTCTGCCACTGTAAGCAGCTGAAAAGCTGAAACCTTCAGAAAGCCCGGGGCATGAAACTCTGTGCCCTGGAGCGCTTTGCCGGTTGCTACGAGCTTAGGCCCCAAAGCCTTACGCCTGCAGGCGGGAGCCCGAAGCCCCTTTTGCCCTTAGCTCTAAACCATAACCCGGGACCGGGGTTCAAGCCTTCTCTTACCAAAAAGAGAGACCAAACCCCCTCAATGGAGAGTCCGGGGGGGGTCAATGGATGCTGGTGGGGGGGGTGGGGGGTATTATTATGAAGTTGGTCCTAAATCTTGCCGAGTGACATGGCTTCTTGTGGTTCATCCGCAGTGCGATGCCACAGCCCGTGCCTCGGGTCCACGGCTTCACCAGCTGCTGTATGACATCCTTGGCTTCCGCAGATGCAGCCCTCCTCTGAATTTCCTTCCCCCGACTTGGGCAGGCCCCACTGGAAAAAGAAGCCAGCGACTGATACCCGGCTATCCGCCGACCCCTGCTTTAGCGGGGGAGGCGTCAGTGAAGACCCATTTGCCCTCGTGCCCAAACCCCCCCGCCCTCACCCCCTCGACCTCACCCTTACCCTGTTAGGGGCTCCAGCGCTGTTTTAGGGGCTCCAGTGCATGCCCGGACCCCCCCCCGCCCCCCCCCCGCCCACCCCGCCCACCCACCCCCCACCCCACCCCTTCGCCTTTGTTAGCCCCCGTCCCCCCCCACCCCCCCCCGCCCTCACCCCTTACCCCCCACCTCACCCCTACCCCTGACCTTTTACTTGGAAATGAAGTGTCAGGGGTTTAGGGCATGCCCGGACCCCTACCCCCCACCTCCCCAACCCCTTGCCTTTTTGCTCCGCCCACTGCCCCCTTCTCACCCCTTCGCCCTTAACCCCCCACCTCACCCCTACCCCTGACCTTTGTGTGTCAGGGGTTTCGGGCATGCCCGGACCCCTACCCCCCACCTCACCCCTACCCCTTGCCTTTTACTTGGAAATGAAGTGTTTGAAGGGCTCCAGTGCATGCCCGGACCCCCCCGCCCCCCCGCCCACCCCCGCCCACCCCGCCCACTGCCCCCCCCTTCTCACCCTTCGCCTCTGCCCCCAACCTTTCCCCCACTCACCCCTTGCCTACCCCTACCCCCCCACCTCACCCCTCCCCCTTACTTTTTGAGGGGGCATGCCCGAACCCCCGCCCCCCCGGCCCCCCCCGCCTCACCCCTTACCCCCCACCTCACCCCTACCCCTGACCTTCTACTTGGTGTCAGAGTGCAGGGCCCCCACCTCACCGCCTGAGGGGCTCCCGTGCATCCCCCCCCCTCCGGCCCCCCTCTGCCTCCAACCTTGGCCCCTGCCCCCCACCCCCCCCCGCCCTCACCCCTTACCCCCCACCTCACCCCTACCCCTGACCTTTTACTTGGAAATGAAGTGTGTCAGGGTTTAGGGCATGCCCCGGACCCCTACCCCCCCTCAAAGTGTTTGAGGCTCCAGTGCATGCCCTGACCCCCTCCGTCCCCCCCGCCCCCCCGCCCCCCCCCCACCCACCCGCCCACCCCGCCCTGCCCCGCCTCACCCCACCCCTTCGCCTCTGCCCCCAACCTTGGCCCCTGCCCCCCCCACCCCCACCGCCCTCACCCCTTACACCTCACCCCTACCCCTGACCTTTTACTTGCAAATAAGTGTGTCAGAGGTTTAGGGCATGTCCGGACCCTACCCCCCACCTCACCCCTACCCCTTGCCTTTTACTTGGAAATGAAGTGTTTGAGGGGCTCCAGTGCATGCCCGGACCATGCCCGGACCCCCCCCGCCCCCCCGCGCCCCCACTCCGCACCTCTGCCCCCAACCCCCCCCCCACCCCCCCGCCATCACCGCTTACCCCCCACCTCACCCCGGTTCGGCTCTCCTGGTTAAGGGGGTTGAGGGTTTAGTGGGGTTTAAGGGTTCAGGGTTTCGAGTTTAAGGTGTGAGGTTTAGGGTTTAAGGTTGCGCGCCAACTCCCAGGGGGTGTTTGTGTAAACCCTAGAACCTGTCTGGGTCGGCGGCATTGGCGGTAGCCATTAAATCGGGCAGCGCGAGGTCCCCAAAGGACCGAGCAAATGCGGACCTTTTAGCCCGGGTCGTCCCCGGAATAGCCTTGCTGGCCTCTGGCCTTCTGCGAAGCAGAATTAGGCCGGACGCCAGTGCCGCCGACCCCCGCGTGCCGCCGGTGAACGGTTTTTTTTTCGTGGTTTTTTGCGTCGCCACGGAGGCCCCCAGAGGGCGCGCATCATGAGCATCAGCGGGTCCAGCCCGGGACCCCCAGGCGCGCATCAGGAGCATCAGCGGCTCCCGGGGCGGGACCGCGGGGGGGCATCAGGAGCATGATGCCCCCCAAAGGGCGGGCATAAGCGACGTGTCTAAGCCCGGGGCTAGGAAAAAGGGAGTTTAGGGGCCTTATAAAGTGCTTAGAAACGTTAAGGGAGTCTCGGAGCCTCAAACGCTTAGAGATTTGAAGGGAGTTTAGGGGCCTGAAAATGCTTAGAAACTTAACGCTTAGAGATTTTAAGGGAGTTTAGGGGCCTCAACATGCTTAGAAACTGCTCGCCCCGGGCTTCTGCGTGCGCTGCCCGCCCATGGGCGCAGCCCCTTAAAATATTTTGCTTTCATCTTCTTCTCCTCCTCCTCCTCTCCTTAGCCTTGCGCCCAGACGATCCACGAGTCCTCATTAATCCTTGCCGTGCCTTTTCACGAAGTCGTAGCCTAGTTACGCCACTCCTGAGCCATGCAAGGTCTGATGCCTCACCGGTCGCTCTCGTTGTTCTGTGGCCAGCCGCATACAAATCCCGACCAATTGTGGGCCTCGTTGAGCTTCCGTGAATGTTTAATTAAGCCCAAGGTCTCCAGAACTCTCCAAGCCCTCCAGACCTTGTTCCAACTCTGCCGGAATTGCGGTGAACTTCTGTTAGTTTTCCGGCCTTCAGTTCTCTCGCTGCTTGGCAGCCTGGACTCCAACCGTGCTTGGGCTCCACCCTAAAGTTCTAATGATGACCACTCCATTCTCGACTGGCGCTTACTCGGTTGGGCACAGGCTCGTTGGCCAAGGAGGTTGGTTTCATGCCCCCGATACTTGGCTTGTCGCGTGAGACTCTCCTCTTCTTCTTCTTCTTCTTCTTCTTCTTCTTCTTCTTCTTCTTCTTCTTCTTCTTCTTCTTCTTCTACGGGGCCTTCTCTCTCTCTTTCTTTCACAGCACATGACCCCCCCGAAGGGAGGCCGCCCCGAAGGGCGTGCTGTACAGATCGGTGTGTGAGAAACTCCTCTATCTCTCTGTCGCCCTCTCATCGTCTTGCGAGCGGCTAAAGTACCCCATCTCGCCGGAACTCGCATCCAGCTAAAAAAAACAAAGAGAAACCCCTGACCCCATAATCCCTGGAACAAAACCTTCTGTGCATGTGGAACCTGACATGACGTCCTTGGCACGTAGCTTTGTAAGAACGTACATCTTGGAGGCAAAGGCAGGGCGGCCGTACTGCCCAAGCGAGTCTGTGACTTACCAGGTGTTCCAACATTTGTGAAGTCAAGGGTCGTACAAAGTCACAACTTCTCGCACCTCCGTTATCCACGACCACCGTGTGGTCTCGCGGCATCCAGACAAAAACCTGCGCCACGGGGGTCAAGCGCGACAAGCGGGAAATAAGGAATTGGAGGTGCGCCAGTGTGGACGGTGAGCGAGCTCCCGTGGAGCTCTGTGGAGTTGTAGATCGCGGGCTGAGGTAGAGGTTTCATGTGCTAGGATCGAGGCCGGTGAGTGTGGTGATATCTTCCAATCCAGGACAGGTTCACATGATTTTGTCTCGACGCGTACGGGAAATCAAGCATGCCCAAGTACTCAGGCATGCTCCAAGTATGCTCCAAGTATGCTCAAGTAAGCTCAAGTAATGGTTCTGCTTGGTGAGGCTAGGATGTCTGGCTATACATGGTTGCAGGAGAAGGCACTCGCGGAACTGCGTGGCCGTCATGCCCCAGTCCTTTCAGGGTTTGCATCATGGTGTGACAAGGTTGCCAGTACCTTCGATCTTCAGGGACGTGCGCTTCAGAACGTCTCAACGTCTCAAGTACATGCGACTTCCCCGTCTGCAACAAGCGGGCAGTGTGAAGTCTCTGCCCTGAGGCCTGCGGAGGTACCTCCCGATTCGTCCACACTGCTAGCCCCAAGCACCCAGGAGGGGGCGGCAGCTCCGGCACATAATTGGAGGCGGCATCCTCTGGAGAGTCTTTACATCCGAGCATCGACGGCCACGGGCCAAAGCAAAAGATTCTGTGGGCAAGTGCAGTACAATGCAAGCCAGCTGCTCTTGGTGAAATACTGCCAAATTGCAGCTTCTTACACTCCTACGGTAGAGTAAATCTGCACGAAGCCTACATCTAGTGCATTGTGGTTGATGCCAGGTCTGCCATTCAGGTCTCAAAGCTTGAATCAACTCGTCCTCGGACCAATGTTGTCACCTTCTTGGGCCAGCATCGGCAACGCTGACGAGCGGACTCACATGAAAATGATCGAGGAGGTCGCATGTCGACTTGGGCGTCAACGGACCAGCATCCCTTCTGTAGGATTGTTTACTTACAACAGGGCGTGGTGTGCGCCGATGCAGACCCCGGCCTTGTTCTCATTGCTCTCCTCTTTGTTCTCCTTGTTCTCCTGATGTTCCTGGTTTTCCTTGTTTTCGCTGTTCCCTGGGGCCGATTCAGGCGGAGCAGCATCGCCTGACACGAGACAAGCCGACTGCAATGCAAGTCAAACATCATCGTACACGTTTTCAAAGACCGAGTTCAACATCCTACTGGCTCATCCCGAACAGAGGCCCTAAGTGCGGCCATGAAAGTGCCTTCTCCCACCTGGGCCTTGCCGACCTCGGCCAGCACACCCAAGGCATTTCAGCTCGACGATACCGTGCCCGGTCAACCGTCTCCCAACCGTGGCCCCTGCCATCTGCATAAGCAGGTCATCGGCAGATGTGTTCACATCACCTTACCGCACAATTCTGGTCGTTCAGGTTGGCGGCGCGCCCCACAAGTCGGCAGACATTGCAGTACTGTGTGCAGCTGCCAATGGATTCTTGGAGAGAAGCTACCACATCCAGTATTCGGACTGAATGCTCAACAGCAATGGGCCCCACTTGATAGAATTAACCCCACATTACTCACAACTTTGCAAGTTACAATGCAGTATGCCTCTAATTTTCAGGAAGATATATGGGGCGCTACATAAAGACTCTTGACTCTTGGACACCGATTACAAACTATCGCGCGCCGGCCGAGCCAGTCATTGTGCTTTCAATTGCGACCCCTAATCCCCAATCCCCAACATAGCATCTGTGCTGATCCAACGCTCAAATCGCACGATGCCTATACTGTGCTGGTCACTGCCGGAGTCATGGTGCACATCGAGCTGAGGCCGCCACCTGTTGGATCAGCCATGATGCGGCAATTCAAGCGCCAAGGCGCCAGTAAGCGTGCTTTCAAAAGCTGAAACACGATGTGCTTGGCTGCTTGGCTAGGCTGCTTTGGGTCAGCATGCGTTGCTATGCGCTACTTGCTAGTGCGAGACATGTGGAAGGGTCCTCTGACTTTACCGGCGAAGGTCCGGTTTCCGGTTGCAAAGAGTTGCTGCTAGGAGCTTCTGGGGTGTTTCAAAGATGCTGGACTTCGAGATCTACAGCAGTTCATGGTGCTACGTCAGGCTACATCGAGAAACCCGTTTGTTCCTGGAACTTGGCGATCTGCCGATGGCCTTTTGCTGTGTGTTTCTCGCCATGTCTACCGCTCCCTTGAGCCGAGAGAGGGAGGGAGGGAGAGAGAGATCGGTGGCAGCTGCTTCTGTTCAAGCTTCCAATCCATGATGCGACTCCACCTACAAGATTTTGACACGTACTGCTTTGCTACTTTCCGGCAGGTAGGAGCAAGCAGCTGGGCAGTGGTGAACATTGAAAACGCAACCATCGCAGACCATCGTGAAGGTCGGAGACATCAGAGCTCTCTGCACTCCGCGCCAGTACGCCTAAGCCTAAGCTCGCCTCAGCACGCACAACATCTTTGTATCCACGGCAGCTCGTCGGCTTGGTGGCCGCAGGACTCTCTTCAAAGACCACGCACGTGAAGTCAAAGACAAAAATACAAGGAAGGCTTGTGAGGAAGAGAGTCCTTGGTGACCCGGAAGACTTCACAAATGGAAAGCTAAGCAGCAAAGCTTTGCCCTGCTGTGCAGGTTCTGCAGGTTCTGCTGTGATCGCGTCATGCCATCGGGAGCATGTCGCGACCCGCTGAAGCAAATTCTGACGCTGCTCTCTGCCGAGCTCTCTACAGTCTCTACAGTCTCTGCTTCGCTTCTCTCACTTCACCAAGCGCCGCTCGAAGAGGTGGTCAGAACGGGGCGCCTGGATGGTCACCTTGTCCTTGCGTTCACGTTCAGAGCTCCCCCAAGCTCCCCCCAAGCTCCCCCCCCAGCTCCGTGGTGCCTTGTACTCTCCGTGGCATAAAGGTGGCGGGCCAGAGGCCTACAACCACATGCAGAAGTTCTGTCAGCAAGGAGGTACATTGGGCAAGTGCCACCTTGAAATCCACCATGCCCCGGTCTGCTCCAGGATCTTCGGACCACTTGCCTGCATGCTTCCCCACGCGCATCGTCGCACCTCACCACCAAAGTGACCGAAGCGCATTGGCACAGACTCTTCGTGGGTGAGCATCGGGCCTTTGTAGCAGCAGTCGAAGATTGCCCAACCTGACGTGCCGACAGGGGAGATTTGGACAAGCACGACATGGCGTAGCTGCCAACAGTATGGACTTGGATGTACTTGGAGCATCACCCATGTCCACGACATCGTTGGCCTGAGCTTCCATGGGGTCCTGCACTGGGCGGCTGCTTCCCTGTGAAAGAGAAGGATGTGACCCTGCACAGTCCTTGAAGACCAGGCGGCTGCAAGAATTTTGGGCGACCACGCGGCGAGCTGAAGATGTGCGAAGCACCTGCACCTGCCAGCTGCTCTCTACGAACCTACGCTCTGCTCCCATGCCTGACAAATGCACCGCCTGCACAACATGAAGAACCCCCCCCTGTCCCCAACAGGAAGCGACTTCGAGACACCGCGTGGCAACACGTACTGATCCTGCTCACGGGCCACACGGTCTCGCCTTGCCAAGAGAGCTTCCGCCTCCACCGAGAGCAAAGCTTTGAGGTCCGTCCTGGAGAAGGCACACACAAAAGTACAATGCTAGAATGTAGAGCAACGTAGAACCGCCAAGATATCAATGCTCTGTCTCAGGTCTCCACGAAAGCTGCACCCTCAGATTCCGGGTCCACATCTGCCTGGCTGAAGAATCCCAAAGGGATTCCACCTAAGCGATCAAAGCGAAACAGAGCCTGCGGCTTCAAGCAGAATTAAGCAGACACAAAGCCACCAAATGCTCTGGGAGCGTGTTGTCACAGTATTCACATTGTCGCATGATGCACGGCGCGCAACAGCCCGAACCCGCCCCACCACCAGCCCTCACCACCCCCGACCCCCAGCGCTCGCAGTACAACGAATAAGATCCATATGCAACTATAGGTAACTGAGCTCATAGCCAGCAAATACCTGCAAGTAATGAAGATCAAGCCAAGCTGGAACGATGCCCTCGTCCAGCAGCTTGATACGGACCTCAGTCGGCTATTCTGTTGGGCAGGCCTCGCGTTCAGCATGTCTCTGCGCACAAAAGATCTGAAAGGGCCAGGTCTCGGGCAGCCTTGCCTATTGCGACAGGTGAGGTTGCACGAGCCTCTACCGTTTCCTCTACGGTGAACCAGACGTAGCCCTTCTCCTGCGGCACCTGCATCAAACATATTTGGCCTTCTACAGTGTTGAGGGCCTTCTCGTGAGTACTTTTCGAAGATTGCCTCTGGATCATCATACTTCTTGTGGTTCAGGTTGGGCCCCAGCCAGTCCAGGTCTGTCAGCATGGCCTGCTTCAGTCCCATTCCCATCTAAACCGTGGCCATAAATTCTGGTGGTATATCGCCGCCGAGGCATGCCGAGGCCAGTGCGTAGAACTTGAAGCCGCGTCGTTGGTTTCCCTGCAGCGCCATGGATTGGTCAGGCCTCCAGAGCTGCACGGCATTGGCATCCACACAACCCACAGTCCAAGCACAACTTGCACAACCGGATTGAGGGACTGGCCCGGTGGCCGCCAAGCTTGCAGGACCTACCACAGCAGATGTTCAAGGATCATGGAAGTTTGCACCAAAACTTGGCTTCATGTGCAAGCTGCAAGCATGCTGCAGCTTCCTGCCTTCCAAGAGGTTCCAGAGCTTGTCCTGCTCGAAATAGTGAAGACCTCAAATGACACAAGAATCAAGTGCGTAGTTAAGTACTTTCGGCGGGCTGCTCGCCACGGCAAAGCGCTTGCGACTGTGTAAACGTCTGATGCACAGCCACAAAGACTGCGTCTGATTGCTGGCCCTTCCCTTGAATGCTGGGCAAAGAGCCAATGTTCAGCTCATGGTGGCCATTCTGAGTGCACAGATGAATGCACGGATGGATGAAGGGAGGGGAAGCTGACATGAAACCCGCCTTCCCGTAGCCCTCAAAGGTTCCGATTTTCCGGATCCGGAAGGGCCAGCCAGCGATACCTCGGGTGGGCGAGGGGTACTCAGGCTCGTGGCCCTTGACGTTCACAAACCCTTAGAGCCTTCGACAAGTTAATCAGACAGCATGCAACTCTGTGAGCAAACAAAGCATGCAGACCCAGCCCTTCTCTGAACTAGGGTCCCTCCTATCTTTCCCAGCTTCCTGACCCCTTGTGGGAGGACGATCCCAATCGTTCTCGGATGTCCCGAGGCACCGGCGCAGAACACAGGGGTAGTAGCCTGGATCAAGGAGCGCAGCGCTCAATTCCCACAGTGATGCAAAACTGCACTTTACACTGTACAGTGTGGTCTTCGGCACAAGTGTGGATGTGCGCAATTCTTTGTCCTTGCAGTCCGCATGACGGCCAAGCACGGGGAACTCTGCCACCAAGTGGCCCCAGGTGGGATTGCCAGCAAAGTCGGCTATGCGAATCTCCGCCTGGCTTGCAGCTCGCAGGTGCTTAATTGCTGGCGACCCCTTCTGTTGAGTGCCTTGCGTATTCCGATTCTATGGTTCCACATTCTGTGACTGAGGCAAGTCTGTGCAGGCTCAGCGGCCTCAATGTCACCCACCGGCATGATTTTCTGAGAGAACTCCTGCTGCAGACATTGAGGGGTGGGTAAGTGGTAATGGGATGCTATGTTGGTTTCGTACTCCCACCACCTCATGCCCGCTTGCAACTGTGTACTGCTAGCGTGGTTCCGTGGTACAGCACGACATGAGAACCCAAGGAACTGTCTGATTGCAATAAGCGCAGCTTTTGTTTACACTGTCGGCCCGTAAACTAAAGGTGCTCGCAACCCTCCCCGACTGAACCAACAGCCTAACCATGATCCACTGGTTCTGCCGGGCTCCTTCGACCTTTGCTGCAATGCGTGAGATGACCGATCTATTCATTTTCAGCCTCCCTTCTTCTTCTGCTTGTGTTTAGTGAAGAGACCCTTTTTTCAGGAGAGGAGCCCCGGCCACGACCGCTCGCTGCTTAGTTTGGTTCGGATGAGAAGGGGGGAGGGATAAATTGATCCTGTTCCATTGGGCACGGGGTGGGCGGGCTTGTCTCTCTTCTTCTTCTACTACCCAGCGAAGACGAGGCCCCCTTACTCTCTCTTATGTCTTTCTCTTTCGTTCTTTCTTTCTGTCTTTCTTTCTTTCGTTCTTTCCTTCCTTCCTTCCTTTCCTTCCTTCCTTACTTGCTTGCTTTCTTTCTTTCTTGTCTTTCCTTCTTTCTTGGTTTCTTTCTTTCTTCGGGGCTTGAGGTCAGGGGTCTATCTCTCTCTCTCTCGCTCTTCGTACCTTCCTCGCGAGCTCTGTCTGTGAAGCGCTTCAGCACACGCTTACGACACGTGTCTTCTCTTTCGGTGCAACGTGCCAAAGTTTGCAAGGCAGTTCGCGTTCAAATCTGCACCCTACACCAAGCTCCTCTGCATTTAGGCCCATGTGGACAACGTTGTTGTCCCAGAATCTGCGGGCCTTTGGCACAGGCCACCAGCACAGCGCAAGGATGCAGAAAGCAGGTGTTGCGAGAACCAGAATCGTAGAATGGCTCTCACTGTCCGCACGAAGCACAACAAGCAAAGACTTCAGATTTCGATCACGATCAGCCTGAACGTCCGGCACGTTGTGATTGTCACGTTTTGGAATGTAGTCTTGCAGGGGGAAGTTCCACGTACAGTCCTTGGCCATCACATGCCAAACCACAGCTGACAAGGCCCAGCACACGCCTTCTCTCCCGCTACCAGAGCACCAGGCCAAGATCTTGACTGACTAGCTCGTGACAATCAGGACACATATTCTGTGAGAATCTGTCATCTAAGGTGATCGCGCGAACGCCCTCATATTGCATGCACTCAACCTTGGTCGGTCGAGACGGATTTGCCTTTCAGAGCGACAATACGTTCCCTTGGCGCTCTTTGCCGAGGTAATGCCAACCACGAGAACTGCCACGTGCAAGATGAGCTACTGAGCCCCAGACAGTGAGACGGCAGTTTTTCTCGGGTATGGGCCGCGATGTGCACAAGTCCTCCGAGTGCGGGTGCCACTGCACCAAGAAACGCCCCCGCATTCCGAGAGGTCAGACGCTCAGCTCCCTCAGCTCCCAGCATGTCGAGCTGCCGTAAACGTGACGTATTGTTCGCTCAGCCTCAGGGCCGCTTGCAGCGAGTCATCACTGTGTGTCACATTGTATACAGGCAAAGCAGCCAGCGCCCCTACCACATGCATCCGTCTCTCATCGAATCTGAGGCATCTAAGATTTCTCCAAATAGGATCGATCACTCCTCTAAAAAACGGCCCCTTTGGGTTATAAGGCGGCCCCTATTGTTTAGGGAACCAAAATGTAGAGAACTGACCATTGGTTTTTCAACTTTGAAACCAGCAACCCAATGGGCCTGCTGTCGGTGTTTAGCGCTGACAGGCTGGCGAAGAAATCTGATCTTTTGCCCTGATCGCGTGATGTCCCACACTCTGCGTGCACTTGCAAAAAAACAACGTGGCAAAGCAACGGCGTGATGCCTCTTGGAAGGTCTTGTCGCTGAACATTGCCAGAGGCGGATAGTTGGTCCTGTACAGAACATTGCAAGGCAACCAGGGGCAACGGGCGGGCAACCAGGAGGCCAGACTCGCCGACCTTTCTACCCATGCTGCCCTCAAGTTAAGGCTGCAGGCAAGATTCCATAGCAGAGAGTTCCACCATAATGGGCCACCCAAAGGGCGATGCAAGTCGAGCTCGCCACAGAACTCTTCCAACCTCATGACAAAAACCACCCACAAAAAGGCAGGAGCCGCTCTGCCCGACGTGTCAATCATCTGAGGATGAAGCTTTTCAGGAATCTCCTCTGTAAGTACGCGAGGTCCTGCTCACCGGCTTTATGAGTTTCACCCTACCCTACAGGATGCGCAGGATGAATACTGAAGTGTTGCGGAACATGTGTAAGCATTGTGCAAACATCCATGAGCTGCAGCACATCTGTATATTTAATATTATAGTCTTGCCTGCACGCACCATGGTGCTCAACAGGCCAGCAGGCTAGGCTTGTGACTTCCTGCCAATGCTTTTCCTTTCGGTGGGTGGGCTTTGCGCTCTGTGAAGGACTGTGGTATGCTGCTGTCCGCGACGGTTGGCGAAGCTGCTGATGTATGCTCTCATCTGGCTTGCGTCTGCGACGTCTGAGTGCCCAGCAAAGCCAAAAGCAGCAGCGCCGGATATCAGAAATCTCATCAGAGACAAACAGAGAAATTTTACAGCAGAGAAAGACCTGCTGCCAGCAGGACATTGATATGTCACCGACATCTGCTTTGCGCTTGACCAAAGTTTCCATTCATCGCTGCCTGGAGCTGGTTCTATGCCCCAGCTTGTGAAAGGAGGCGGCTGCCTTCACTACTACCTTCGTTAGTTGTGCCTCAAGTTCAAAACCGTTCGGAAGAGACCGGGAAATGGCCGCACAGACGACTTCGCGCAGTGCCGGCCAGGACGAAGTGGAGAAGCCATGAGCATTCGCTGCAAAACCAAATGAGGGTCAGCCCATCGCCAATAGCTCCCTCAGTTTGCAGGGAAACCAAGCCCAAAATCATCTAAAATCAAATCCCAAAGCAGCAGCGCATCATGTCACTTCCCTCTGTGGTCCTCTTTTTGTCCTCATTCTTTCTTGTGCACGCTTTGAGTCCCCCTCTCGGGGAACCCGGCCACGACGGCCGGGTTCGCGTCCAGTCTCTCGTGGTCCCGGTGTCCGGACATGGCGGACTCTCTCTTCTTCTCATTATCCTTCTTCTTCTCCATCTCCACGCTTGAGAGGACCCCCTAGGAGGAGGTCCCCAGCCGCGACGGCCAAGCGGTTCTACTCTATCTCTCTCTCTCTCCCTTCTTTCCTGCGGAGCCGAAAGCTGAGCAAAAAGAGCTTACCCACTGCCAGAAGGGATAGTGTTTCCTGAGAGCCCTTGAGACACCCGAGACACACTGGGAATAGCCGAACTAGGCTTCCTCAAGCTAGACAGTTGGTTGTGCAGTTTTGGAAGGCAGACCAGCTAGCAGTTCACCGCGCGTACCAGGCCGGACGCGCCTGCACCCCACACAGAGGAGGAACTGGGTGCGGAGGGTGTCTTAGTAGATAGGGGGTCACACCAGGGGACTACCACGGACCGGCCTCCCCTTTCTTGCCTCAGTGGGACAGTCCCAAAACACGAAACGTTGAAACCCGAACAGAGTCCAAGCTGTGGACACACCAAGACGGCACGCGAGAGAAAGGCCACGCGCGTGCAGCAACAAACCCGCGACACAGCATTTGTGAAAGAAGGTATTCTGGAGAAACTGTGCATCGGCCAGCATTCAAGGTGTCGCCATGTGACGAGCTTGCCTTGAGCGGGCCATGTGTCTTTGCCGAGAACAAACTCAGGTTTAAGAATGTTTAAGATTTGAAGGGCCGCTCTCAAAAATCTGTCTTCAAGGACTTTAGGGCCAGCATGGGCTAGCTATCGCGGCAGCGCAGCGTAAACCGTACCATTTCAGAACACGTCCTGGCTGCCAAGTTGCCAAGCTGCCATCCGCCAAACATCGGCTTCTTGACGTGTCCATCTGCATGGACGCCAGACCCATTTGGCTCGACCACAGATAAAGGCCTCGGTACTCAAGATGAAGGATTTCGACATGCAGTTTCAATCATCTGTAGTGTTGGGCAGGGCCAGCAACAGCTGAAGCTTCCCAAGATAAACCCACAACCTTCCAAACTGCACAAGCCAGGTGCGTCGCAGCATTGCATTTGATAGCCAATGGCAGACGTATCAGGCACCGGAAGCCATCTGATAAGCCGATAAGCCGATAAACCCCAAGTAGTTCTCTCGATTCACCAAGGGCAGTCGTCGTCCTTCCAGGACGTTGTGTCAGTCGTCTCTTGAAGTCTCTTGAGCATTCCAGGAAGTCTCCTGACTCTCCTGTGCATCTTCCAGCCCGTGAATCTGGAGATTCGTAGCTTTCATACGATGTCGACTCCGCGTATTTGTTGTCCAACGTATCCGACTTTTTGCCACCCCACGATCCATCAAGCTTGCCTTCGGCAATGTCGCTGAGCTCTTGTGGAATTTCTTGCTTTGAATTCTTCAGTTGTTTGAGAATCTGGCCAGCTAAGGCTCCAATCCGATGCAGACAGGCGTACGTACGAATCACCCTTTTCGCCAGAACTTCCTGTGCGTCCAATTCGGTGAACATATACCACGCTCTGCACGTTTCACGTCAGGTAAGCATGTTGCACAAGTGCTGTACACGTGCCAGAGCGTGTATCGGTTTTGCACTGACCCATCGAAGCTCGAGACACGGTGTTTCTCGTCAGGATGCGCAGCTGATGTGTGCTTCGGGCAGCGCAAGCACATCTCAAGGAGTGACAGCCACGAGGCTGGTGTAGCGAGGGCGTTTGAGGTTGCGGAGGAGCTCCACCATGAAGACATGCCATAGCGACCTCTGCTTAAGTTTCGCGCTCACACCTCTCCATCTTCGGTGGCGAACAAGAAAGCAGAACTTATCGACTGCACTATTCAACCTGGCAGCGGGAGTGCAGATCCACCTTCGACGCACTGATACCCAACTCGTGTATGGATGCGCAAACCACTTCCACTCGCCGGTTTCATGATGGTGAAGCGATTTTGAGCGCAGCCCCGGAGACGTGATGGAATATCATATCATTGGGTAGAACATGCAGTGGGATCCACAGGGCAACGGCTCGCAGCTCCAGTGACCATCACACATGCTCTGGAGATGGGCGTACTGCATTCCACTGTACTGGTGTGTCTTGAAGCAGATGAACGCCATAAAGCAGCTGGCCTGCACACACGACATGTCGACCCATCTTGTCGAAATTCCTAGCTTAGCGCTGCTGCTTCAGTACTGCCTCTATCAGCACAACTGGGCTGAACACTTTCGGCCTTCTGGGCACAAGTCCATCTGAGCCAAGCACGTGGCATCCCTTGGAACAAGGAAAGAGATCACGCGAGTCAGTGCGGCGTAGCAGCTTCGGGTGGCGCACCCTGAGGCGTTCGTCGAACCTTCCACGACCACGGCTCTCATGGCTTTTTGCCCTGAAGATGCTCAACCCCTCGAGCGCCTGCACCTTGCGGCACCGATCTTCTCCTGGTGTATGACAAGCGGTGTCAGTGCACGCGCCCGCCCAAAACTGGAAGCCTAGCCTCTGTAATCACTGTCCCTTTAAAATGTGGCTTGCTGCCCTCAAGAAGGTCTGAGGGGCGTGGTGGGTCCGCAAAGCCAAAAAGTGGTTGAGCAGGCATCTGCAATCCTTTCACAGAGCCCCGCACACTAACCCAATGGCCCAAGTTGCAAATTACATCCGAAGTTTTAATAAGAGGCTAGAGAAGATGTGCGGAAGATGTCTTTCTACTGGTGGCTGGTGAGCCGAGCTCCTTTCCGCACGCGATGCGACGATGGCAGCTTCCACACAGCAAGAGTCCATCGCAGGGTCCTTCGGGAGGAAATAGCTGAATAGTCAATATTCGTCAATAGATTCGGGAGTCGCAGCAAAACGCTGACCTGCTGTCAAACAAGAAGTCCTCCAGAACTGTGCAGTGAGCTGCAGCCGGTAGCTCGCAGAGGGCGACGGGGGCGGGCAGAGTGGGCAGAGCGAAATGATGCTTGTGTTTGGCAAAGGCATCCATCTCCTTGCGATGAAACGTCGGAAACACATATAACATCAACATCGGCTGACATGCGAGACGGAGCTGTGCCTCAGCGACCGCCGAACTTGCAGTCTCGCCAGAACCAGAAGCTAGTGCCTGAATGGAAGATCTGAACTCGCTTGTGTCGCACCGAGTAGGATTGGTCCGCACTGACATTCATCCCTGAGATGAAGCAGAGCTATCAATCACAACCCTCCCTCCCGGGCTGGTTTACCTGGATGGCTGTTCGCCAGAATGCCAAGTCATCCTTAGCAGTTCTGGCATGGGGTCAGAGATGTTCAGATGTCACTGCCCGCGTCTCCGCACACCTTGCAGCCCAAGGCTCCTGCAGCAACATCGAGTTCCATCGCCGAACATCTTGGTTGACTTGAAGCAGCGCAGCGCAGTCCATCATCACCAGCTGGCGAACCAAATCCTGAGTTGTTACGGGAACTCAAAAACCAACGACCGAAAAACATCGCGCAACAGCAACAAAACGCATGTGTTGATGCCTGGGACCCAGCGTGGCAAAGGGCAAGCACAAAGAAATTGAGCTCGAAATCATCACATAGTTATAGTCAGACTTTCGAAGCATAGCGACATAATGCCAGCAAGAATCAACTGCGCTGCCAAAGCGCTTCACATACGGATGTCCTTGGGCTACTTGCTGGACGCTGCCCCACCTACCTTCGACTCACCATACCATCGCAGGCGGGAGACGGAAAAATGACGATTGAGGCAAGCGATGCGTCACACGCACCTTGGTCAAACACACAGCTGCGCCACACCATAAGGTAAGAAGTGGTGCATGGCGCATTTGCCAACACGACCGAGCAAAGCACCGCCTTGCACAGCATCTGTGCCCACGTCTCATGTTGGGCCCACCGACCACAGCCCCATTCGCTGTGCAAAGTTGAGATTGATGCCTGGAGGAGAACAGCGGACAGGAGAACAGCAGCCACTTGCGAGGTCCGGACATGTTTGCACAATGGGCAGCAGGCCTGGAGCTCAAGATCTGGCATGAACAAGGGAATTTCCATGGTAACCAGATCCTTAAAGGTCCTGGGCTTCAAAAACTCGAAAGACTTCTAAAAAGAAGCCAACCCGCGGGTCCCAAACACAGCATGTCAAGCCCAGCTTCAACTTGCCATACCACACCCGCGGAATGAACACAGCGGCTCGGTGCGAAGCTATCTCAGAATAAGAGAGACGCTCGGTTGTGTATGGCAGAAGCCGAAATCTCCAGGGTGAAGCCTCAGATAGATTCAATTCGTGCTTCTACCAGGAAAGGTAGGCGAAAGCAAGCTGCAAGCTGCGATACACCACGCGTGTGTTCCTGTACTGGTACAGGAGATGTGAAACTACACGGAAGCAGGTAGAACATTGCCTCGAGCAAGCAGCAGGTTTCCAGCCAACGGAGGGAACGATCTGCATCAGCAAGCTGAAGAACAGATGGCCATGGATGGTTGGGGCAAAGCGACCTCGCGAGTGTTGATGGCAAGTTGAGCTGGCAAGGACGGCAAGCTCCCTTTACAAGCCGCTCTCCAGCCTAGCGATCCCTCCCGCATGACGACGACATCGGCCGTGTCGTAGCACCTGCTGCGACGAGCTGGACATGCAGCTTCCTTCTGCGAGCCCGCAGTTTCTGGATGTTTCAGGCCCAGGCCCAGAGTATCGGTCTTCAATGTAGAGCGACGGAAGCCAAACGAAAGGATGGAAGTTGTCATACTCCTGTCCGATGGAAGGGCACCACGGCTTGAGGTTCGTTGAAATAAGCTGAAGGGTTGAAACTTGATACATCTCTGCTTTTTTATTCTCCTCCAGCTCGAAGTTCCCATAAGATCGGGCCATGTCTTCCCTCACCCAGAGGTTGCGGAGTTGACGTCCACCGGTGACGGCCGCGGCCAGAGGCTCCACGACGTCCTTCTTACGCTCTAAGAAAACGGTGCGCTGACATGGGACACGTACTGTAAGCCATGCTGTGCTGCTTTGCTGCTTCGGTGCATGTCAGGGAATGCATTCATGGTCCTGTCGGAGAACTTCCCTCGCCTGACTGGCCGTGAAGCCGGGCGGCCCACCCAAGTCATGACGCATCAGGCACAAGGACAGAAGCGGCTTTCCTTGGCTTTGACAACAGGAGGATGGCTCGCCACTAGCCTTGCCAACCTTGGAATACCGAAGAAACACGGATCAAGACAGATCAAGGCTCGCTGAGCATTTACCAGAAGCAGGCTGGCGCAAAGCCAAAGAGGAGCGGCGCAGACCAAAACCTTGGACTGCGGATGCTCCGCGAGGACCGCGCGATTGTGCGAGGGACAAAGTTCTTCCAATTTGCTCATGTAGCAATGGATCTTGCGATTGCGTGGTTGTGGTCAGCACACATCGCAACAGATAGGTACTTGTAGCTCCCAGGAAGGAAAGAACTGCCTGCATTGAAGGCGGGAAAGAGACCTCACCAGCATGCATCCTTGGATGCGAGAGGAGCGTGCTCAATCGGACAAGGAAGTCGCCATGATCAGCAGGATCAGCCGACCAAACCTTAGCGTTCATGGTCTCCGAGTGAGACACATTTACCATGGATCGGTCGCTGCCCCAATCAGTCCCATGATGGCCACATGTACAATGTCAATCTGCAGTAAAGTAGAGACTAGTAGAGGCGGAGAACTCAAGGCAGGACACGACATTGCCGGCAGGCTGGCTTGTGAAGTCCAAGGGCAACTCCTGAAGTGCAGGCTCATCATGGAGGAAGCGCTCCTGCGAAGGCAGGAAGGCAGCGCAGCATGGGCCGAGCTCTCGATTTACGGAAGCAGAGAACCCAACGCAGCATTGTCAGACTGTCTCGGTGGTCCTCGTAGAGCTGGGCGCAGGCAGGACACTTTTCATGCGTCATCCACCGACCCAAGCGAAAGAGGGAGAGCTCGAGGTCCTTTGCGGTTCGGCTCATCTCATGTCATCACTGCAAGTTGCTGCACAGCGACCTGAGGCCACGGCTGGCCACACCTGTAGCAGGGCCGGGATGATGAGCAAGGATAAGTAGGACGGATAGGCCAGCATTGCCAGCGCCGGTGTCTTGGACAGATCTGTCCCCTGAGTGTGGAGTTAAACAATCACAGTGGCTACATGCCGAGATGATAACACGTCACCGCCGATGCAAGCTTGCCGAACGCTGCGCTGGCATGCCGGCCAGCCACGCGTGCCACGTCGCGCAAGTGCAAGCGCACAAGGCTGTTCAACTGCAGCGCGTGCCACATGACGAACCTTTGAGCATCAGTGGTGTCAATCAGCGGGTCACCTTCCCATGGCTCAAGTCTGCACCGTGAGTATATTCCGACAGGAAACCATGGACAGCCCCCCACCACCTGCCTTGGCTGCCGGTGACTTCCTCCAGTGCTGCCAAAGTTTCCGGACGTTGGACGGCAACTATGTGCCACTGAAGATCCTGTAGCTGTACATGCTGTTGGTGGCTATGCCACGACAGTTGCTACTTGCTATACAAGCAATTTTGAGAGCTGGTTCCAGTTTGAAGCCATGCGTCTCTGGCACCACCCCACAGCTCACCTACAAGGTCGAACTCCGCACAGCTGCCAAGCATCGCCCCACCCATGCGCAAGTCCTGAGAGCTTCATTTGCTTGATTTGGGTTACCCTGCTCTTGATCTCTTCCCTGTTCTGTCACCTTCGAGACCCTCTCAACTCCAAATTTCCTACATGCTCCTGGCCTCCAGAGCACGAGCTTCCTCGCCAATCTCCCGAAGCCCCCGCGAGCGGACGGCCAGCGCGGCCACAAAGCCTCGCCGTGGGTGGAGATGGACTGAGCGGGGCTTCTGTTTGTTCATGGCTTGGTGCCAAGGAGCCGAATGGACAGAACTGAGCCCAACGTTTCCAGCAGCGGCGGCCTTGTCAAGGACGATCTGAAACCAAAAGGGAGGGAACAGCGGATCTGGTGGTGCAACCAGGCATCCGCCCCAGCTGTCCGAATGTCCGTCTCTAATGTAGTGGTATGCACAGAAGTCGTCTCCATTCCACCTGAGTCATTCATAAAACAAACTAGATTGGTAGGTCCACCTGTGAAGCTGCCATGCGTTGTCCGAGCCTCCAGTCTGCTGGTATGTGGTCAGAGTCACACAGGTCAAAGGAATGCAAGTAGACCTTGATGGGCCAAGTCACTTGAGCTCTGTGGCATACAGGCTCATTCTGAGTCCAAGAGCCCGACCGTGGCCATCCAATGCCATGCTTCGGTTGCAAAAAGCTCCTCAGCTGACCATGAAGCGATTCGAAGATTCGAAGACAGGTCACCCTGATTGAGGCATAGGGTAACAGAAGGACTAAGGACACATACCTTATGCTGCCAGCAGTCGATGATTTTCGCGGCGTGAGCCAGCAAAGTGCGCGGTGTCCTTCCGGAATGGACAACCTGCCACTGCTATCCGCAATCCACCGCACGAGAGCCACTACGAACAGCTACAGTAAACTCAGTACACGCCAGAAAGAAATTATAGCCACACGGACCACCCGAAAGGAATGTTCATGCGTGTCAAGTCATCACGGCAAGTCCTGTGATTCCCGTAGCACGCGCCCCCAATCTCGCCAAGCCTGCGCTACCATACAGTCGTAGAGCTGCTCTGATGCCCCAAACTGCCCTGGAGTCATAGGAAGAGGAATGCATATGGGGAGTTATAGCTCTGGATATGCACAGTCGGTGTCATCACTTCCTGCCTCATGAAAGCTTGGATCATCACATAGAAGCCAGGGTGGTCTCCGCTTCCCTTGCAGACACTCACATGATTCACTGTGCGAAGCCGTCTGCGAGGTGTTTCTTGCCATACAGACCTCTCCGACGTAAGTTCTAATCGAGGCTCTGACTCGGCAAGCTGCCCAAGAAGTCGAATGCCTCATCGCTGACCTCCGCTAGCGCAGGAAACAGAGGTACAGATTGTCAACGGGGTTGGCATGTGATAATGATGATGAAGGCGACGAGGATAAGGCTGGGGATGAACATGATTGATTTTATGTAACTCTGATGCACCTCGCCTCGAACACCCTTGCTCTGGAAAACACATGCAAGCTATGGGTGTGCATTGCCTTCACGTTCATCAAGCACGAGTAGACGGGGCATTGCAGGCAGAGCTTTTCGGCATGCAGTGCTTCAATGATGAAAGGGTCGGCCTCGCTGATTCTGCCAGCAGATTGTCCCTCGGCCTTGCGAATGAGCGTTAAGTTAAGGTGCTTCAACTATGCTCATTGGAGAAGATCGATGTCTCAGGTGCGAGCTTCCGGAAAGCCATCGACCTAAGTGACGGGGGCTGCTGCTGGTCACTACTGGGCTGTGGCAGACAGCGGCCTCACACCCATGTGCACCCTGCGATTATCGTCAGCTGTCTCTCAGAGGTTGCTGTGGCTGTTGGCCCAGGTCCATGTGTCTGCCTGAAAATGCCTGAAGAAGCTTCTGCGGGATGTAGTTGTCGGACAACTATGCAAGCCCCTGCGAGCCAGCGCCAGTGTTCCTGCCATTTCCAGATCTTTCCAGCCCAGCAGTTCCATCGATGTCGATTTCACCTCCTAAGTGCCGTGATCGACAAAGCATTGACATCGACTCACATCAGGTCGTACTGGTCCTGGCCGGCGTCTTGCACCAGAGCTTCTTTCAAGCAAGCGACAACTGTCAAGTACGCTGACGTTTCAACAAGCTGAAGACCAGTTACGATAATGGCCGCTAGTTGAAGTGGGTCTCCGGAAGCTTGTAAAGCAATCGCGAAGACAGACAAGTAAAGGAGCAGCAGAATGCTTCCGAATCCAAGAATCATCCAGCCACAGCTGGAGCTTCGACCATGCATTGCAAACCAGCTGGTAAGTGTCCAAACTGGCAGCACCACGGCGCTGCACGCAAGCAGAATGCGGCTGCTCTTCGGCACTTCCGTGCTCTCATATCCCCAGTACGCGTAGAAAATGCCTTGAAAAGCAGCAATGACTTGACCGTGGCACCAGGTCTTCTTCATGAGCAAGCGGCTCGTCGCGGCATCCAAGCACTCGTTCGGCATGTGCAGATTGTCCGAGCCCGGGCGCATGGCGATGCGAGGCTGCTGAGACTGGACCTACTATGAGAATACTATAAGATCTATAAGGGAGCACATCACCAGCACCAGCAAACTGAGCTCTCAAAGGCTCAGAGAGCTTGCTTGTCCAGCGTGAAGTATGAAGTGGACAAAAAGACTCTGCACAGGAGTCTCAACTGTGAGGTATACGTATTGCGCGATCTTCTTGCATGCAAAATCAGAGCTCGTGGCTCTGACAATTGTGAATCGCACTGGGCTGCCAAGCAAGCAAGCGGTCGAGGAGTACTTCATTCGCCGCTGCTCCACTCCAACCTCATTGGCTACAGTGGCTAGAAACACACTGTACATATTCTTCGAGTCACATACGCTTGCCTCAGCTCTACCTCGTATGAACTCAATCTGAAGTCACTGAATAATTGCACATGCCGACATACTATTGCCGGGTTGCAGAGCCGAGCCGTCACTGGCACCCGTCCGATGATGCAACCGCCTTCGAACTCCGGTCCTTTCTGCAGCAATCCGAAGGAAGCCCAGCATATCCCACTTGCCGCGAACGAGCATGCGACAACGGCCCCAGCTCCGATCCTTTCGCCGGAACGAAACTGGCTCGGAGAAGTAGGTTAAAACCTGTTGAGTGCCTTGGTTCCTGAAAGAAAGTGTCCTGGAACTTCATTCGGTGATGCTGACTTGGCTGGCATTGCGAAGGCTGAGTACCTGCCACTTGCGAACTATCTGAACCTCTTGCACCACATTGAGGCCTAAGATGCAACTGCAATGCTCTCTTACTCGCGGCTACGTCTCGCACTGGGCAACAATGTTCATGTCCAGCTCGCGCGGCGTTGGCAGCCAGACTGACGAATCGCCAAAGCCGGTTGCATAGGCTATGTACCTAAGTCACTACGAAGTCGCCCCCCCGAAAGAAAGGGTCTGAGTCACGCTGGCCATGGCTGCAAGGGCTGCTTAGACGTTGACAGCCAAGGCACTCCACGCTACTCTTGCGCAGAACACCCGCATCCTCCGCGAAGCTCACCACTGCCCATACTTAGGCGAGCAATGCAACGCTCCGTCCTCTTCTTGCGCACAATGCCGAGGTATGCATACCGCAACGCCTGCGGTCAGTGCCTCCAACTCTGCTCAAGATGACAGAAATGACAAGGGGAATAAACTGCACTGCTGAAATCGTTTCAGATGCGTCAACACCCTGAGCGACGATCAGGTCCGAGACGGTCTGAGGCCCACGCTTCCCAGCGTTCCTCCCCGACATTTCGTTCCAGGTGGTCCAGGAACCTCTGAATCTGAGACAGCCCCCGAATCCCGAGTGGCACCGGCACCCAGAGCTGCCCCTGAGTGCAACACTTGGTCAAAACGTGGATCTCCCTCTCCAGGAGGTAACTGAGGGCGGTGATCCCATATGGAGGTTCTCATGAGACATGGGCAGCTGGAAACGATGGCATCCTACGACCTAAAAAGCATTGACTCTCAAGGATGTCGCGGCTCGCCTCGCCCGATTGCCCGTGTATTCCAAAATGTCGAGCTGCACGATGAGGACCTGCCAATTTGTTTGCAAAGGACTTCAAAGGACAAGAGTCTTCAGCTTTCTACCCAGTACCTACTACTCGCAACTTCACTCACTACTTCATTCACCGTGCCTTTTGCTTTGGGCTTGAGCCAGTGGCCTGGTGCCGCCGCAAGAAGCATGCTGAATACGTCTCCGGCTGTCCGGGTGGAGCAGTGGCCTGCCACACACCAAGACTTGAGAGTGAATGCAGCTGAATGATGGTCTCCAGCTTTTCATAATGCTGAGCTTTCTGAGTTTTCCCAGATGCGTGCCGTTTTGAAGAACAGCGAAATGAACATGCCCGCGGCGCTGGAGACATAAAAAGGGCGAAGTCGAGCCCGAATTCGCTTCGGCGCCCGGCCGGTGTGATCTGTTCTACCCCCACTGGGACTCTAGGACTCCTGGGACCTTCACGTGTGGGTGCTGCCTGAAGCACAAGAGACAAAAGCCCTGCGCAAGGGCCGCGGTGACCCCCCCTAAATCTTCCTGAAGCTGAAGCCTCCTGGACCCTGCTGCAAACCCCCTTTGAACCCCTGGGACACTCCGGTAAGGTGTGGAGCAAAGGTGACCCTGGAACCCCTAGAACCTAGACCCTAGAAACTCTGGAACATAGCGAGGCCTGCTCGAAGTCTTCCCTTCTCCAAAGCCTGGATCAGAGTCTGACAGAAGAGAATGCAACCAGGAGGCTAAAAGGTTGTATTCATGAGTGGGGATGAAGGCTAACAGTCTTCAGATGTTTTGTGATTTGAAATTTCAAGTGTGCACCCCAAGATGTACGATCAGGAATCTCCATTTAACAAGATGCCGGGCTGGCGAAAGCTCTGCATCTGGAGATATGTCGAGCTGAAGCTGTGGCCAGTGTGCGTCGAAGCAGCTCGCACCTCGACAAAGGGGACATGAGATGTGTGGCAGCAGCGGTCCACAGCATGTGACCGAAGGCAAGTCAGGGCACAATGTATGGCGCATTGTGGCACATTATGATGGCATATCCAGTACAGCAAAATCAGCGCGTGCCACGAGAGGGGTGAGTTGGCATCCATGGGCCAATGGGGTATAACGGTTCAACTTTAACAGCAGCGTGCCTTCGCCCCAGCGCCCCTTAGTTCAAGGTGACAAGTTCTTGCCATGACCTTTTCCGGGCCTTCAAGATCCTTTAGCTGCTTGAGAGTACGAAGACAAGCGGTACGTGCTTCGACGCTTCTCTCTGCCGGTGCTTGGGCTGCGGCTTCCCAGGTTCCACTCTACACTCTAGACGATTTGCAACTCAAACCGGATTGAACAAACAGGGGGCCATCGCTGAGTGTCGCACTTCATGCAGTGCTGCAGCCTGGCGCTACCGTGAGATGCCCCTTTCCCATGCAACAACCCACATGAAAGCACGCACCATGTTTTCCTGACCCGGCAGCGATCGGTTGCTTAGCTTGGTTGAGGAAAGTACATCCACAGGATTCAGCCACCGCAAAAGCCATAAAGAGCAGGGATGGACTATAAGCCTCGAGTGTACGGCTGCAGATGCCACTTCTGAATCCTCGAGACCTTGTCGACTCAGGCTGAGGTACATCCTTCGAACAGAGAGAAGACGTTTTGAGCATGGCCACCGCCTACCTGACAAGCATCTGCCACGTTTGCCACTGCCCGGCACGAATAGACAGCAATGCTGATGCTCCAGCTTCACCAGCACAGGATCTCGTGCATCCCGTCCAGCTGCGAAGGCTTTCTCATCTTTCCTCACCAGAAAGCTTGAAGTATCGCAAGCTCGTCTCACCATAGCTCTCCTGGGAGTTCTTCAATGCCAGCAGCAAGGTCTTGTGCGCAGATGCCGCGAGCCTATGCCACAGCACAAGTTGGCGTGGGCATATGCTCTTCGCAGACTCCACAATGACAACAAAGGAGGAGCCATGGTGACGAGCAGGATCGCCTTCGTAGATCACAAAGTCGAAACCATGACGCACAGCGCAGACTACATGGTATCCGCGAGAGGTCAGATCCGCAAACACCTCCGACCGCACAGACCTTTCGTTGGCCCCAGTGCCTTGCAGCTGCTCTGGGTCATAGGCAAATGGAGTCCCGAGCTGTGAGTTCTGCTGGGGGTTCGAAGGCAAGGTACCTGTGGGCAGTCCGAAGATGGGCTTCTTGGCCCTTCGAAGTTCCATGTGCCGCTGTACATCAAAGTCCAGGACAACATCCCTGCACTTCAGTAGCTCTGGAGCCCCATCCTTGCATTCCACCGCCCGTTCCGTCCTCTCGGCTGATCTTGATCGCTCGCGCTCGGACCGCTCAGACATTCTGCAAGATGCTGGATGCCAACCACTCACTCCCCATGCCCCAGGAGGTCATCGGGCCAAACGGCCAAGCAAGGGTTGGAGGAACATTTCCGGTGTTGCGACAACACTGTCTCCCGCCCTGAAGCTGAATGGGACCTAGAGTAAACCAAACCTCTTCACGGCCCCCTTTGTCCGAGTGCTTTGTCGAGCCTTGCTGGCCGAGTGCCTTGGCAGCAGCAGTAGAGCAGGGGCAATGAAGAGATGCCTCGGCGGATGCTGCAGGCTCAGGGCTTCGAAACTCGGGGTAAGGGCAGATGGCTGCTTCAGGAAGTCGTTCTATAAACGGGTTAGGATTTAGGGCGAGTCAATGAAAGAAAAAGGTGAATGCAGCTGGGCGGCCGCATGAAGCGGAACCAAACGATCCGGATAACCGCGGATCATTGTGGTGGTCCTAATGCCAGACTTGCCCTTGCGGCTGTTCTCGGGGCCTAGGTCGAAGTATGTTCCATGCAAGCTCGTATCGCTGAATCGGGAGCTGCAACGGTTGGTAAAGACAAGCTTCGGTCAAGGTCAGGCTCAACATCTACAGCTCGCTTGGAATGCGACAGCGAATGCGACGGCAGCTCAGGCTTCTCGGATGCTTTTCCTCTCGCCGCACGAGAATGAAATAACGTCGAGTAAAGCGGCCGTGGCTCCACAGACGGTCAAAGTATGACGATGCCTGGCGCGTGTTGCTAAAATCTGCCAAAGGTCTTTCGGCCCGCTCGGGCCGGCTCGGCCAAGGTTGCAGGTGCTTCTGGCCTCTGGATCTGGCACGCCAGCCTCAATTCCCGGCCGCCCTCGCCAGACCTGGAGTGTATGAGAACATGCCCTGCCAACCGACGCTGGAATCGCAGAGGCAGGAGCAGTCACTGCATGACTCGATTGACTCGAGTCACTGGCACCTCGGGGCATCCGGGCATGAGAGGTCACGAGGCTCTCAACGTCACCAAAAACTCAAGTCAGGTAGGCTGAAGACCATCCCTCACCATGCCAGGGCCAGGGTCGACCTGAAGGCTTGATGTCAGGCGTAGCTGCGAGGAACTCTGCTTCAAACAAAAGTTGACTGCAGGCTTTTGCCCAAGGCCGGGTCATTCGCAAAGCCTCCCACGGCTTGCAAGGATGTGGCAAGCTGCCGTAAATATGTCACCTCCAGCAATTGCTTTCAAGCCTGATGCATGGAGCCACACAAGCCTGATCTGTGTGATTGAGAGACTGTGAACCCGACGTTGTCTGAATGAATCAGAAGCGTGCCGCCAAAAGACAGCGCCCGTCGCACGGAACGGAAGGTTTGTGCCTGGGAACGCAGACCGCCCAAAACACAGTCAGAATGGGCTGCTTGCTTGGTTTGGAATGCTTGCGCCATGCTGCCTCCTTGCCACACACACTGCATCTTGGGTGGCAGCTGTGAGAAGATGTGGGGCGGCCCCGTCTTCAGCCGCAGCGTCGCCAGATCCTGTCCACTGGGTACCCTATACGCTTGGCTAACTCCCCGAGCTCTGGAACCTTATAACATGCGGTCACGCCGGGCGAGGCTTCACAGTCAGAATGCCTGCATTTTTGCTGCTGCATCGTCGCAGTATCGTGTATGTTGCAGAGGTAGGCCTGGCATTATTTATGGCGCAGACAATCTGTACAACAGTCCCTTTTGGGGGTTCAGACTCACGCTTGCAATCTGAACCTCCTGCCATCTGTACACTTGCCAGCCTGAGGTACAGCGTAGCACAGTGGCCCGCCCTGTACAGTCGCTACATTCGAAGATCGAATTTCGGCCAGGGAAGTCCCGAGACTTCCGGGGCCGATGCCGAAGGGCCGATGCCGAAGCCCAGGGGCACAACACAGCAACAGAGGTTTAACCCTAAGGCCAGCAGCCAGAAGAGCTGTACAAGCCACTAACTCGCCAATCGCTTTAGCAGCCTCCCAATGCTGCCCGTCCTTGGTCCTGGGCCCCCTGGGCCATGGCCACAAGACGCTCGGCTAGGCGAGGGGCGCCGCCCGCGAGTTCAGCGCGGGCGCACTGCACCGCCTGACGATAGGTGCTGTCATTGCAGATCTGTCTCAGCGCCTTGGCCAAGGCATCGCTGGTCACTGTGTCCATTGGCTTGAAGAAGGCTTGACCCCACCCACGCTCTTGCACCTTGCGGGCATTCGCTGGCTGATCCACGGCTTGGGGTATCGCGACTAGCGGTACGCCGGCCATCAGGCTTTCCTGGAGGCTGTTGAAGCCGACGTGAGAGATGAATACCGAAGCATAGTTGTTCAGCATCTCTACCTGCGGCACAAAGCCGCGGATCAGCACGTTGGAAGGTAGCTGGTCGAAGATCTCTGCCTCGCTGCTGCCCAGGAAGTCGAGCGCATCAGGTTGCTTGCCCACGGACACAACACAGAAGTACTCGTCGCCCAGGTCCCTCAATGTGTCAAGGAGAACCTGCCACACGTGCTGGCAGAAGACCTTGCCGGTGGTCCCGATTGGAAGGTTGTAGCTGCTGACAAGTCCGAGGTCGATGCTCCAACGATCTGAGAGCGCCATTGTGCCTAGGGCGGCGTAGATGATCTTCCGGCCCTTGGCCAGCTGCTCGGAGAGCTCCGGCACCGGTAAGGAGTGACCAAAGCTCTTGACACGCGGGATGAAGCTGTCCGACCGTGCCGTGATTACATGCGGCGCGCTGCTGCTGACCAGGCAACCAACTGCGGTGAAGCTGAACTTGGTGCGCAGTTCGTCCGCCCACCGATGCTGTCCCGGCGGAGGCAGCTGGGCGACGAGGTCTTCGCATGTAGTGACGAAGTTTGTCTTCGCGTAGTACTGCCGCCGGGTCAGGAAGTGGCAAGACAGGTCCACGCCAAAACTGTCTTGGATGGCCTTAGCGTAGGGCTCGCGGATGCTGGCAGCATGGGCGAGCCGGCCCTCTGCCTCCATAGTGCACATCAGGTCGGAGAGACTTCCCATGCCAGGATAAGTGACCAAGGATGCACATGGTACCCCGAGCTTGCCGGCAGTGACGAGCGCAAGGGGCACGAAGGGATCGTAGAGGATCACGCTGACGCCCAGCTGGCGGCAGCGGGCTACCACATGCTCGCCGCAGCGGAGGACTGTGGCCAAGGGCCAAACAGTTGTCTCCCACAAGGCGCGATCCTCCTCGAGGATCTCCTGCACGGGATGGTACATCGGTTCGTCAATGCCACATTTCTCCATGACAAAGTCTGCTGGATCATCTGGGAGGTAGCTTTCTGGGACTGCCCCAGACTCGACGGCGGCAGCACGGATGGATGAAACTGGAGGCAGGAAGTAGTGCACCTTGCAGCTGCGTTTCCGGAGCTCCTGGACCAATGCGAAGGTCGGATTCACGTGCCCGATCATCGCCACATTGAAGATGGCCACCACAGGCCCCGCCTCAGTGATGGGCTGGCTCATGGGCTGGTTCATAGGCGCCATGGTGGAAGGCGAGCTGAAACAACCGGAGCAGAGGTACACGGCTTGAGCTTTTGCAAGACAAGAGCTTCTTGAGCCGCAGCCAAAGTCCAGCTCTGGGCTACTCACTCAAACCCCAACAAGCGCCAACCTAGACCCCTGGAATGTTCCCCCAAACAAGACCAATAAGATGCTTAAGCCTGCTTCCTTTCTGCCTCCGTTGATTGATCCCTTTCTACATCCCTTTCCTTTCCGAATTCCTTCTACATCTTCTACTTGCCCCCAGATTTGGGGCAGGGCGCACGATGCAGCGGAAGAGGACACCAACTCTCTGAGCCCCGTGTGGCCTTCCACGCCATCGTTCCAGCCACGTCGAACGGGCGGCTCTGGGAAGTTGACCTCACAAACTTGTTCACTCCGCAGCTTGTTTCTTTATCAATGTTTTATCTATTGTGTAGCTATTCTTGTTAAGATCAGTGTTGCCTTTGAATCACCTTGAATGCAGGCGGACACGCGGAAAGCCACGGCTCTCTGCCGGCCAGCTGCGTACACATGGGCCACGGAGCCAGGCGCAAGCCTACAAAGCACTACTACTGCCGGCACGACTCGCGTCTTCGGAGAGCCGAGCTGAAGGCATACGCAGGAAGACCGCCGCATCAGCGGCAACTACGCAGAGATGCGGGGACACCTGTCATGGAGAAGTACAACCGATACATGGAAGAGCTGAGCTGCAATGGGCTCCCGCGAACATCCGCTAACTACATCCTCGTCTGTAACGCATGTCTCATTGTCTCATGCCATGGCTGAGCTCGGCGCTCCAGTGAGAAGTGCGCGGGAAAACGTGCGGAAGACGCGGTCTCGCCTCGCCAGCTGGCTTCATGCAACTTGCTGCGTGCTTGGGTCTAGGTCCTGCTGAAGCATGGCCTGTTTTCTACACAAGCCCAGCTGGCTCTGCCAGCATCAGCAGAGGCTTGTGCACAAACCCACTCGCCCTGTCAGACAGAACACCAGCAGTGCCAAGGTGCGGAGGCACATACATATTTGGCACATGTCGTCCTATGGGTATGCTTGCGAAGGCCCCAGTCGCCTCTCCGGAGCAAAGCTCCACCTGGTTGAGGCGTCAGCTTGACTGCCCATGCATGACATCGTTGGAAGCATGGGTTCGTGGCATTTCGTGACCTTGTCTGGAACATTAGGTCATTGGAGTGTCCATTCATGCAACTTGAACAGCCAGGAAGCCAGGCCTTCAGTGGTAGGGCGTTGCGGAATGCAGCACCCAGGTTGAGTCGCCCTGCACATGCGCTGAATCTTGAGCACGGCTCACATCTGCCCTGAATCAGTCCTTCCCCTTCTGCTATGGAGCTCAGGCGCTCCAGCAGCTTTGCCTCCACCTTTCCATGTCACGCCATGCCTCTAAGGCAGAACTCCCTTCGTGCAGGCTGCAAATCACCGACATGAGGCAAGGGCTTTCGGCTGGTGCTCACCGCACCTTAGACAGGCACGAGCTCCTTCGAACACGCAGCTAAACAGCCAAAAAATCAGAACCTCAAAGAAAAAGAAACAATAATAATAACAATAATAATAATAGTAATAATGATAATACTAATTCTAATAATAACAATCTTCCACCCGAGCTGCATCAGCCCGAAGGACCGTCGCAGCTCCTCGAGGAGGGCTTGGCCACCTCGTGTCACAAAATCTGCTCTAGATTGCGCTGTGTGCACCGGCCAAGGTGGTAATCTCGGTAACATGTTTTTGTCTCCACGTACACATATGCACAGAGTTACATACATATATGCGCATTTTTGGAGAGAACGAGGGAGAGAAAGAGAGAGACAAAAAGAGAGCGAGAGAGAGAGAGAGAGTAACACGTAGCAAACCGGACACGCACACCCGACTTAGCGAAATCAGAGCTCGGGGCTAAGCGCACAGGTCTCCTCGGTTGCAGCAGTCATC